GCTCGCTTCCACTCGGTTCCGACTAACCAAGTCAGAGCACTTCCGAGGCTCCGCCGAGTTTGGTTCGGCTGAGCTCGTCCACAAACCATGTGCCCTCCACCAAAGGATGGACGACGGCGCGCGAGCGTTTTTACAGGTCACCGAGCGCAGAGGCTGCTCAGCTAGAAGTGTTACGGCACCCGGACTATCCGACGTACCGACCCGCTGAGTGTACGGGGCTTTGTCCGCGCGTAGCGAGACTTTGGCCCACCCGGACCGACCTAATCTCTTGGCGCTACCAGTCAATACCCTACAAGCTATGCCTCTCGAGTATTGACGGCAGGCATAATCCAGCCCTATGCAGGGACTTACCGGAAAAGTGTACACGTGTCTTGGACTAGAAAAATTCTGCTAGGTTATCTTCTGGGAGCCCTTTCGGCTTCCCCTATTTAATCCTATGCATCTCATATATATATATCTAGTGAAATGTAGTCGTTTCGGATCTCCACCGACCCTTCCGCTGCGTTCAGGCGACCGTTGAGCTTAGCGGCTATCAGGATAGCATCATCCACGCAGACCGCTGAGTACTTACCGTGATCCTTCGTTCCTAAGCTCTGGGTTATCAGACCGAGCCGATTCTTGATCTAAAGCAGGTTGACTTGGTCGAATCTGGAAATCCCTACACCATGACTGCCCCGGTTATTATAGTAGCCGAGCTGGTGAGTGTCCTAATCCTTCATGTGGCTCTGTCACCGCTGTTGGTCGCTGACCCCACGAGTACCAACAGACCGTGGAATCGACTCAGCGGGCGCGCCTTCACCTCGACGAGGAGTTGGTGGAGAAGGATGGCGCCGCGAATTGTGCTGGAGTAACATGCAAAGAGTGAGGAGCAGTCAAGTGAGCGACAGCGGAAGCAACAAACGTACCCAAGAAGGTGATGGAAAACCGCGAGACGTCATTAACCGAGTATGGACCAATGAAGCTGGGTTGGTCGACCTGACAACTTCTCATGATTCTGACGCGGAGTCGGCGGAGTCTTCTCGCGCTCGCCTTCCTGGTCCACCGATCTTGCAGGGCGACACCACTCCGGGCTCCAACAATCAGTCAAGCTCGGCGACTCCAGTGAGTCTTGACTACCTCATGCCCATGGTTACTGAGCAGGGATATGAGCGTCGGGAAGAGTTGACCTTCTTGGCGAGGCTCATGGCTTACGGATTCACTCACTCCGTGGAGCCTTCTGAGCCCGTGCAGCGGCGAGTGATCCTGCTGGCTTCTTTCGCGGAGGAACTGTTGGACATCTTGAAAGACAATTACGCCGCTCTTGATTACTCCCAGGTCATTGGTGATCTCAGGACCGACAATCAAGCTGCTCAAGAAGAGAACCGCGCGTTGACTCGGCTATTGGACTCTCTTGCCCTCAGCAACGTTAACTTGTCCGAGCTTTAGGACGTAGAGTCAGCTGCGAAGGCGCTCCAAGGCTCCAACGTCGACCTCCTCGACGTTCGGGTATGATTTGACAGCCTTATAACCAAAAATTCTATTGTTTGCGCGTTTCCTAGGTAAGAACGTTTTTGGTCTGTTATATTCGTAGTTTACACTAATATTTGTACTAACTATTTATTAATGCAGCGCCAAGGCTGATATTGCCCACAGTCCAGATTTCGAATCTGGATGTGTCCGAGTGCTGAAGCGTCTGACCAGGGCGGAAAAGGCTGCGCTCGAGAGATTTACGGTGGTAAAACGTGCTCAAAATGGAGTGGATGGTGAGGAGGAGGCAGACACGAACACTTCCTTCGTCATAGGGGTCCAGAAGCGCCGCCAGCTGTAAGAGCGACAGCCCTCGTACGATCTGGTCGCCTCCATCCCTCCCACGTCGAACATCGTCGAGCGCTTTTTCAGTATCGCTAGAGCTACGTATGGGCAGCAACGCCACATGCTTCAGCCGTATACGCTGGAAATGCTTATTTTCTTGCGTCAAAATGCAAGCTATTGGGATGCCTGTACCATGAAGAGTGCGGAGTGATAGTACAAGGCTAAGCATACAATATATTGGCACATTTATTGTATCAATAGTCTACTTTTCGTGATTGATTAACTCAATTATCTACTCAGGACTTACATGCTGCCATCACCACTATTGTATTGTCCGCTATGGCGTGCAATTGATAATAAATCAATATTTAGCATCCCTCGTTGCAACCCTCGATTTTTATGCAGAACGAGAGAAAAAATCACTCGGCCAATCAGAAAGCAGGAAAATAATATTGTCTTGCTGGGGCTGTCAATTGTGCAGCCATAACCCTTTATTGATAAAATTTTAACGGACAATCTCCTGTACCGTACGCTTCCTTGCAACTGCTCATCCGCGGTTCAGAACATTGCCGAAAAAACATTATCTTATCCCTAACATGACCACTATCTTACCATACTATTAATATCTGTCGGAAAGATGTGTGTGTATTCATTCCTATTCAATTGTCATAAATCACATGAGCATAGCAAGAAACATTATCCAAGTTGCTCTACGGTGCATATGTACATGTAGTACATGTCGAATTTTCCTTTTTTACTATAGTGAGCTTTCTACAGCAAAGGTTGTAAAAACAGCAACTCAGATGTATGACAGGTCGACCAGACGTGAAGTACATGTACATAGTGTTACCGTGGTACAGTAGCCATCGGGAAAATCGGTAGACGGTTAGTACTTTACATGTTGACGGTATGTGCTGATGAGAAAAAGCTAAAATATGATGAACCCTCATGGAATACCGTCCGACAAGAATAAAATATCAAAAATACCTTTCACTCCTACCTCGGAATATAGAATACAACATTACGAAAAGTGAGTGCTTAAGTCACTATTGTGCAGCAGGCAAGCAAGGACACTTGCTGCTTGCACCTAAGCTCTCTCTGCATCGTTCTAAGTCCCTGTACACTTCTATCCGACACGCCCGTTGAATCTGCTCGAACAAGCAGCTTTGCAATCCACTTCAGGTGCTCCATGATATCCGCAGAATCGAAGCATGGTGCAAGTTCACTTAGGTTCGACTGGCATCTTGGGGGCACTAGCTAATAAAATTGCAGAATATGAGAGACCCCGGGAGGACCGCAAACGCAAGAAATGAAATGGATGGTAGTGTTTGGTTGGCTTCTGGCCTGTACCATTTCGAAGGTACATCTTGCTGAGCCCCACAACAAAGCTAGGCATAAGATGTTGGTACCCAGCGCTATGACTACCGAAGGGTTCATCTGTAGTATCATCACACACTCTGAGTGTGGCACCCAAAGGCGATAATACGTAATATCAACTTAGCAGTAGCAAAACTGTGCATAATCCCCCGCCGAGATGAAACACTACTTGTACAAACCATTAAAAAATGTCCTGTAAAACAAGGTGTTACCAATGAAATAAAGTTTTGCAGTTCCATTTGAATTTTAGTGCGCACTTTTTGAATTTGACTGTTGACTTTGTGAATAACGCCGTGCAAAGGTGTAGTATATGCCACTTTGTCCTTGCTTGGCCCGGAGGACGTTGCTGACTATTTTACAAACTCGCCAATGAGACCAACGTGCGAAGTCGCCACCTACAGTACCAAATTTACACCTCTCCCAGTAGAAATTTTCTCTATGGCGCTCACACATAGATGATTGTGTGACACAATCATTAGGAGCTGTCACTCTTTAGAAAAATGTGATGTATTTCGAGAGCCGTGCCCAAGTTTAATCAATCGATTAAAAGGCGAAACTTGCTCTACTATCGAACAGGATACAATCAAAAACTACTTGAAAGGCTGTTGGTCTTTATCCAAGGCCGATATCCTATAATATAGGTACGCTGAAGCTCCTCCAGATCTCCGCGTTGGAACGTTTTGTCGCCCGAAACCTCGTCGAGCGCCCCCGCGTGCTCATAACCGGCATCCTTCCGGCGTACCGCATGCCAGTCAGCGATCTGCAACACACACCCATCTAGCCGGGGCAATCTGTCCACCTGTCTTCTACGCTGTCTGCCATTTTGTCCTTTTCAATCAGCAATATTGGCGCTGCACGACTATACATTGCACAGTGTGAGTCACACTGTGACTGACGTTGCACTGATCGATTTGAGACCATACACACCTCAAGATATTTGTTTTTATACCAAGATGGCATGTAGCACATGTACCTCTCCATCTGGAGCTCGGGAGGTGTCCCGGATCTGACGTTCGACTGAAATCGTGGCGTCGTCCGATCATCCTCCTGGTCCTTACGGCATCTTCACCCAAAATGACGTGGGAGGTCTCGGGCTCACTTGTCAATTTTGCCCCCTCCGCTTTTTGCAGATTTTGAGATCAGCATGGGGATCAAGTACGCCCCAAACGACCCACATCTTAATGACCTTACTTTTCCGAGGAGCAGTACAAACACACCGGGGTCCACTATCAAGTCAGGGTTTGCCACGTTGGAGACAAATACGCCAGTAGAGTGGTCACACACACTCCATCAATGTGAGACGACAGAGCTGCAACAACTTCCCTCAGCATTGCCCGTGCCCAAGATTTATGGTCCAACCGCACGCCAGCTTCCTATTGACTCACACTCCAAGAGAACCTCTTTTGTTGCGATGCTGGGTGGATCTGGTGTTGACACGCACGTGAAAATGCCCCTTGGCAACTCACGTCGTGGACACACGCGCCGTGCGGGAGGTGCAACCAATCGCTCCAGTTTTTTGCCAAGTAACTCAGCACTCAACATGAGCTTTCCCGTGTCGGTGTCACGTGCATCGATGACGTCGAGACCCAGTCACTCAATGAATAAGGCGGAGCTATATGAGCTGAAAGATCGCCTCTGGAAGGACGAGCGCACCCAGCAGTGCTTTCGGTATAGCTGCAGAGCAGGACCCCCACGCTCATGAACCGTTATCATTTTTTCCTCAAGCATTCAACACGTCACGCATCACCGGGGAGGGATGTGCAACATTTGACTATGGCAAGCCATCCAGATCGTCGATTGCATTTATTCCTTTGCCACGCGAATCGGTTGCGATGATGATCGACGCAGTTCGAGTGTCTGCAATGGAAGATAACGAAAAATGTCGATTTCTTTTTGAAATGTTTGACGTCGAGCACCAAGGTGTGCTAACCAACGAAGGAGTGCGGGCGTTTATCGAAGCTACATTCGCTACCAACGGGGTGGATTTTGTTGGCGCTTTCGACTACGACGCAGTCGTCGATAAGGTCTTTGGTCAGTGTCGACAGCATGACAAAATGACCTACAGCGAATTCAAATCCGTTTTTGCTGAGGTCGTGGCGGAAGCTAAAGACGACAGAAGCAAAGATGCCCTCGGACTGATGAGCTCCGTTGTGGAGACGCAGCGCCAGAGGGAGATCGCTGTACAACAACGAACAAGGAGGACGATGGTACCGCATAAAAAAATACTGTCGCAAGTACAAACCCGAGATCTTCTGGCTAACAGTCTACTTCCTGTTGATGATTGGCGTTTTCATCGCCAAGGCTTCTCGATTTTCGTTCGATCCTGCCGTCGGAAACTGTCCTCGCATTGCGAAAGGTTTTGCAGAAATTTGTCTGATCAACACCATGTTCGTATTGCTACCAATGTGCCGGAACTTTGTGACTGGTCTTCGGACGCTCCCGGTGGTAGTGAACAATCTGCCGATCGACAACCACATCGAGTTCCACAAAATCTGTGGTGTGGTCATGTTGATCGCTTCACTGGGACACACGGCAGCATGGCTGGCTATTGTGATATACGTCCGTACCGTCCCTTTGGATGTGTGGGAAGCGTCTCAGTACCATCATCTCTCCTTCGTTCGTGACGAAAATTTGTCTGAATTTGCTCTCCGAATTCCAATCTGGACAAGTGTCATGCTTGCTTGCGCTGCGATTGCTGCTCCGCTGTGCCTCGCAAAGTTTCGACGTGGAAATTTCAACATGTTTTGGATCACGCACACGCTGTTCATCCCGTTTCTCGTATTGATGGCATTCCACGGTTTCGCTCGCTGGGTGGCAGAACCTCAAGCTCAGTACTGGATTCTACCTCCAGTTACGATTTTTCTGATCGAGAAACGCTATCGGCTGACTCAAATGTTTTACGGACAGACCAAGATTATTCATGTTCAGATGTCAAAAGAATCGGTGGCGATCTTCATGAAGAAACCAAAATCGTTTGGTAAGAAACAGCGTTTCTTGCCAGGAATGTATGTGTTCATAAATGTGCCGACGATATCGAAGTTCGAGTGGCACCCATTCACGATTTCGTCGGCCCCCGAAGATGCTTTCCTCAGTCTGCACATTCAAAACGCCGGTGACTGGACTGGGACTCTGCACCAAACCTTGGAAATGCTTCAGAATCAACACAAAGACTCTGCACTTGAAGCCCAACGAAGTTCTATGACGTCTCCATATCCGATTGTTAATTTGGATGGGCCAGTGGGAGCCCCAGCGCAAGACTATTCACGATACAGAGAGGTTGTTCTTATCGGTGCAGGTATTGGAGTCACCCCGTTCGCGTCGATTCTTCGGAGTATTATGCATCAATGGGAATCATTTCGATGTCCTCACTGCAACCATATCCAGTTCCCACTAAGCTTCCAGCTCCGGAAAATCTACTTCTATTGGGTAACGCGCGAACAGGAGTCTCTGAAGTGGTTTACTAACACCATGAACCAGCTCAGTGAGATGGACACTGAGAACCGTCTAGAGATTCACAACTTCTTCTCTTCGGTCAAAAATGATTCAGTCGTCGCTCCGTTGCAAGCTTTGCAGAGGTTTATTCACAAGAACGAAGGACAAGATATTATCTCTGGCCTTAACACGAAGCAGCAGACGCATTTTGGACGACCCGACTGGAATGCTGAGCTGTCACGAGTTGCTCGTAATCATCGTATGCTGGAGCCCAGTGGGGATATTTCAAGAGGATATTGGTGTATTCTTCTGCGGTCCAAAGCTGCTCGGGAATATCATCCACGATCAGTGCACGGTGTTGAATCAAGCAAAAATTCGACAGGCACCAGATGTGGAATTTGAATTTCATAGTGAAAACTTTTAAAGGTAACACCGCTTCTATTGCCACGAAATTTGTTATACGTGTAGTTTGTTTCGGATCCAGTATGAGCTGCACTGATACTGGGAGGACGTTACCACGCGGTTCCTCCAATGACAGCTCCGCTGGTATATACTTTGCCTGCTACCTGTACAGATGTATTTCTTTGTGGTGACGTAATTCGTTCCATCGAATCTGAAAAGTGGCAATGGCAATCAGATCACATTGAATTAATTTGTTTTCACAACGTTAGATTCAGTAGATATTTATTCATGTACATGAATTTTACCTCAAAACTGAATTTTGTAAGCTACCGGCTTTTTTGCAACCAATCACTTTTCTTTGTCGTAAGATGCAGAAATGGTAAATATTCGGTAACAATTTGCCATGTTTCGCCTTCGTGGAATCCCTGTCCAGCGACGCGGCATCCACCACCGGCAGAGCGTGCTGAATGCTGTGCACGAAATCCGCGAGTGTCTAAGCGACGTGGACGGCATTTCCATATCCCACAATGATGCGAAAGCATTGGTAGCCAACGCTCTGCAACCCCCGCTCTCATCCAGCAGCGACCTCTTCTTCCACAGTGAGCGGGAACTCCGGGGCACGAGGCTGCTAAACTAACGTTCAGTGTAGAGCGACGCTCAAAGGGGGAGCCGCTGGCCTACGTCATCGGACGGAAGGAGTTTTGGTCCTTAGAGTTTAAAGTGACTAGAGACACCCTCATACCACGCAGTGACAGCGAGATCCTAATTGAAACGCTGATGGTAGGCTCGCTTTTTCTTCTTATGTAAGAGCATCTTGCCGAGTAACAATTACCGTTATGCACGTGAATTTTCAAGGATCAATTCCATCCGGAGACGCCATTGCGGATTCTGGATATTGGGACCGGGTCGGGATGTTTATTGCTATCTGCTTTGTCTGAGTTTCCTCGAGCTACTGGAGTGGGAATTGACATTAGCGCTGGGGCTCTAGCTATTGCGAAGGAGAATGCTCAGTCGAACAAGTTGGAAGAACGATCGGAATTCCTTCTTCGAGATCTGAAAACTCTACCGGGACTTCGAAGCGATGTGGCTGAAGATGAAGCGCTATTTCGGCGCTTTGATGTGATTTTGTGCAATCCGCCCTATATTCCAGGTCGGGAACTTGATCTGGTTGGTCCCGACGTACTTAAGTACGAACCACACATCGCGCTGTTTTCTGGTGGCGCAGCAACTGCTGATAAATGCGACCTGGACCCAAAGGGACTTCGGATGTATCGCTTGCTGCATGAGAGTGTCGATAATCTGTTTAATCACGAGAGTGGGGATGCACGACAGGATAGAAAATTGAGAAAAATCTGCTTACTAGTCGAAATCGGATCGGAAGACCAGGCACGGGAGGTTAAAGAGCTATTTTCTAGCAGTACCAAGGCAGCAGTTTTGCAAAGCGAAGGAAGCAGACGCTTGCGGCTGCAATTTGAGCGTTATCTCTTCGATACAAGCGGGAAATATCGGGGTTTACTGTTTCGTGGGCCATAGCGTGGAATCAATTATTTCCCGCTCACTTCGCCAATCGTGTAGTGCAACCCGATAACATAAGTACATATTTTGCTCTGAAGTGGTATATCTTGAAGTTTTACAAGTCTTGCACAGTGATTCGCATTCTTTAAGGTTACTTCGAAGCATAGTGCTTTGTACTTCGAAGAATTAAACATAGATACCCTAAGCAGTGGGACTCGAAGAGCATCCAGCCCAAAGAATCGACACTTCCAAAAAAAAACTCAGTATGAAATGGCTCGCACTCCTATGATTAAGTATAATACTGGTTTAAAGCACATGATTGGGGATAAATTTACGATTTGGAAAAATCACGCATTAAAAAGCGCTAAACAGTACTCCGTATTCAGCTCTATACCTGTACACGTGAGAGAAGTTATCTTTAACTTAGGGACATAATTATTGTTTTGTGGCGTACGAGTGGCTGCCAACTCTGGCAACAGCAACAACAGCATTTTCCGAGCAATTGAGCTATTAATTGTTTCGCCACTGAAACGCGAGCACCCCAAAAGTACGGAATGTCAGCAAAAACTAATTTTCTGTCACTATAGTAAGTGTATTGAAACGCATTTCCTTCGTCGTAAACTCTGGGTCAACTCCACCAATATACGGTGTCAATACCTTAAAAAAAGTGTAGAACCACAAATCGTATAGACAGGCCCACACACATAGAAAAAAAGGCATCATAACCAAACAAAAGTGTTCTGCCACCATAACATCTACTGAACCATCAAAATAGATATTTATCTTCAACATGTCTTCCGTGTTGCTATTATAAATTGCAACACAGGCGGCCTGTGCGTAGGAAGCAAATTATAAACAATCATTGCAGCTCGTAACGACTAAAGAATGAGCGAAGGGCAAGACAGCGACTCGGAATGTGACGGGGTCACACAGCACAGAGGAAGTTGGCTTCCGAGAGTTTACAAACTCTCAGTGAGCGGCAGCTCACAGGTCCCTTTTACTTAATGGGGGGCGAGGTGACCAATTTAAGGTAGGTTGTAAGCTGAGTAGATTTATAGGTAGCTTGAGTTAAATAAACAAAACTAAAAGTCACCTATAGAAAAGCAATGTCATCAGCCAATGGTTGGCCTTGGTACCTTGTACCAAATATCCCAAAATATGACGTGTCATACTTCATGTAACTAGGGGTACAAAATGGGCTACGTGCCACGTTACACGGAAGGGCATTTACAGCAAGAATAATGGGATTCCGGCGCTGACGACGAAGCTGAGGCCGGGCGGCGACTACTGTGGACGCGGATTTGGCGCTTTACAGAGCGGATACGTTAGCAGAGTACCGTATTCGCCTACCGTCACACGCAATTGACAAAAGCAACTCGGTTGGATGCACAATAGACCATTTATTCAGTAATGACTATCTACATCACTGTGGGCACTCAATGAGGTCGCAATTGGTCCTGTGCTAGTCAAAGCGCTGCAAAGCACAGCTACAGCGTCTAAAAAAGGATGATGTTAGACCACCGATGCGCTGCCCGTGTCGATACAATTTCAAACTATATCTCGCGTCATATTTGGGTGAGAAATTTTAGCAAGGGATTCACGTGATGGACATTAACGACCCTCCTACTCCTGTGGAGCGGAGGCTGACACAAGAGATGAAGAGCTATATTATTGATAGTCCTAGTGCCGGAGGAAAAACAACTGCTGCAAGACTCCATGCACTGCTTTGTACCTTCGTAGACAAAATACAATGGCCGGGCCTGCCCCCAAAAGCACTCAAGTTAGTGATTTTGTGAAGAGAAGAAAGAACTCCAAGGACTCCATGGCTCCATTGATTGCGCTCTGTCATGGTCACCTCTACGACCAACAAGATCTTGGAACACTTTTGTGAGTTTGTGCGACTCCCAACCGAATACGCATCCTCAGGATTCTGAACGAGTATCGCATCTCGGCGATGGCTCCAGCACATATCCTTTGCGAGTTGGGATGACCTATTTATGATAAAAAATCTACATCGATGTGCAAAACAACCCCAACAGCACTGCCATTCTTCACATAGATAGTACTCACAATTGGGCTTTCAATGGCTATGTGGTGTTTGCTTTTGGTTATTCGGATCTCAGTGGGCAATATTTTCCAATGGTGTACTTTTGCACGTCACAGAAGCGTGCAATCGACATTGAATGGCGTATCCAGTTTGTAAAGTGAGTGTGCATGGATGTGCGTGACGCACGTTTACACATGAATTTGTGATGATGGACGCGGACAAAGCGCAGCTCAACGCGTGCGTCACATAGCTTCAACACCCAACTGTAATAATGAGCTGGTTTCATGTCACTAAAAATGAATAGATGCAGTCTCAACAGAAAAATGTACGTGCCAATGAAACTAAGAGTGTGTTCGCCGATCTTTACGACATGCACTACGCCACGTAGCAGCAGTATTCTGCCGTGAAAGACCGAAATATTACGAAATGGAAAAAAAAACTTCCACGTGGATCTGCAGCACGTACGCTTACAGATCATACTGTGAAGATGTGGGTGAAATCGCACATATTCTCACGGTGGTAGGCCTATTGGACCTCAAGTGGTTGTGCGGCAACAATCAACCCGCTGGAGCACTACCATAGAAAGGTGAAGTTGCAATGCCCATGTGGCCCAGCTTATCCTGCTGATTTGCTCCAAAACTTGAATGGGGCCCGGATCGCTTTCCTTAAAAGCGATATGGTGTATGCGTCGGTTTCCACGGCTTCAGAGCGCCTAATGAGGTTATCAAATTATGCACACCCGCAATTGCCTTTCTTTGCACAGGATTCCCCCTGTTGAAAATATGGAAGCGGATTTGTACACAGTGAAGCAGTCGGCCCTACAGCTTTCCGCTACAGAGAAAAAGCTGGTGGCCAACTCGATTCGATCTGTAAATTCAAGGCGAATGCAGACACAGGGCATGTCAGTTGGAGGATGGGTAGTAGCCACTAGAAGTAAATCGTGCTCATGCGCTTACAACCGCAAGCACGCGATGTGATGCCATGTTGTCGCTGCCTGTGGCCTACCGTCTTACCCCGCCTATAAGGCATATGTATTCTAAATAAAACACGGGATTCGCTCGTCATCTAGCTTAAAACCCAATTTGACCACCTACCTAATTAGAACACATGAGGCTGAAACCTACTTAAAACACAAGGCTGTACCAACCAATATATATACTTGAGATCTCCCATCCAACCACCCTTCTGAACAAACTTGTCGATGCTGCTGTTACTTGGCTTTAATTCTCTTATTTTATAATTTACACAGCCATGGGTGCTGAGCGACGTATCTATAGCATCCACGAGAAACTCGCTGACACTAGACACTAAAAGATCTGGAAGGTCTTTTTGATGACCGCTACTTGAATAAAATTCGGAACGGGACGGAGGAACCAGGTGTACCGGAGCTCTATGCTGCTGGACATGTGCACAACTGGGACATTGAGGTAAGCACTGGTGTCTAAATTCTCGTACACGGTTGAAAATCTTCTGAAAACGCTGTGCTTGGTTCGCTCCAGATCATATTTCGCAGTGAAAGTAGATGGATACATAATATAATACACGTGATTACATGTAATGCATTTGTGCAAACGATTCCTAAAAAAATGAAAAAAATAGATTTTATAATATTAACAAGCAAAACCTCCGTATACAACGCAGCCACAACAGAAAAGACCCGTTACCAATCACAACATCATGGTAATTTCACGCAGGCGGGTTTGAACTCACGCCGATCGCGTAGGAAGGTCAAGCCTAAACGGCCAAGCCAGATTCCAGGACCCACAAACTTGCTTCTTCAAAAGTCAAACAATTTTTTCGTTGAACAGCACATAGGCTTTCTAAACGAATATAACACACAAGCAGTGTTGTATTCATTTACAGCACATATGCTTTATATGCGGGGTAAGACGGTAGGCGGCGTTACTTGCCCGGGTGTGAGTATGCGCACGTGTCAGTTTGTAGGCCAACTCATACTCATCACGTGGACAAGCTTTCCTCATCACCATCCGGAGAGCCATCTGATTCAGACTCTGTAGATACAAGGCAACATAGTGCGGCCGAATCTGCCATAGCGAATGAAGCAAATCATCTGCAATCACCCTATGCAAGCCCGGCGCTATCAACGGCAAGTTCCTCGTCCACTGACACGGTCATTTTGGAATATGACGTTGCACACGAGGTTACGGGACGTTTAGAAGCTCGGACAATACCACCTCTTAGAGTCATGTGCGAGGCTTCTGGGCAGTCAGATAAAGCGCCAATCGGAGCCCGTACAGCAGTCGGATAAAGCGTCCAAGTTCCAGTAATGCATAATTTAGAAACAATTGCTGGCAGCGCCAGTGATATCGAGAATGCTAACGAAGAAGATGATATTCCATATCGTCGACGTTCGACTCGCCCGCAGAAACCAACTAAGCGTGCTGTTAAGTCGCGTTTGCAAAGCAGACAGCATAGTAGATGCTGATATTAAAAGTTGGTGCGTACAAATTAAAGCCCGGAAAGACTGGACGCCATATGCATTTACAGTTCGGAAAGTTTTAACTGATTTTAGGTAAATACGAAAGCTACGGCGCATGCACAAGACCAATGTGATATGTTGCTGTTGTGTGTCCAAGGCGGCGCTCGGGAGACGCTCTGATTGAGTCTGGTGCGCAAGAAGGTAATAACGCTCGTCAACGAGCGTCTACACGAAGAGCTCCACTCTCTGTTACGTCGCGCGAAGCGCGACTATCTATCGACATGATGGACGCGCTAGATGCGATCATCCAGAACGCCGAGGGCCCTGAGAACAGCGTCGACATCCAGACTACACTGACCAGCGTGACCATTCAGGCCCGCAACTTCGCTACGAATCGCGTCGTCCCCGCCCGCGGCCAAGTTGCAAGCGTGCTTGTTGTGATATTTTGATGCAGCAGTTCGACTTGTGCTATTCGAATGCATCGGACAACGCGCTATCCATCGCGACCAGCACGTACTCCAGCCTCGCACA